TTTGGGGCCATTGGTTTTACGGGCTGCTCAACAGTAAAATAGTTTTTTTAGCGATGCAAGTAAAATTTTTTTAGAGTTAATTATCATTCTACTGACCAGTTTACACATTAAAAATACTCGTGTTTAACGTCGAGACGCAATGATATAATAATAAGGTTTAAAAAAAGGGTCCAAAGGCCAAATGGTGCTCGTTTATGAACTATGTGTATTTCCATATTGAATGGATTTATCATTTCATTGAAAATGAGTCGTAATGATGAAATTTACTGTTATCTTAGCCCACCGATCTAGACAAACGACTTGGATTAAAAAAAATAAATTACATTGAAATAGATCACCCTAATTTCCGATGAAAATTTCCCCTATTGCAGAATGCGGACTAATTTTTGAAGGTTTGGAATAAAGATGTTAGCCGAAATTACTTCACATAGTATTAGTAAATGATCATCAGCGAATCCAAAATGCCGAAATGGTTTTTCATAGTTGCCAAAATTAACTTTATTAATTATACTCTAAATTATTTGAACACTTTAACTCAATAGCCAAAATTTTGGGTAGTTTTTTTTATGTCCATCATTATAAAAATATTGTAAATCCGAAATTGCCTGCCGAAATTGATTTTTTCAAAACCATTTCGGCTAACATCTTTAGTTTGGAAACGCGAGAATCACCACCAAATTTGACACAGATTCATTCCTTCTTTACCAATCATAAAGTTTATAAAGGTAATATTGGATAAAAACCTTAGTTTTGAAATAATGCTAACTTTACATAGAGAGCCTCTTTCAATGTGAGAGAGGATGGATGCATTTGTAACACAATTTATTTTATGATGTTTGAACTTGTTATAAAGATAATGATAATAATAGAGAGATATTTTAGAACCAATTCCAATAAATTCATCAATTTTTTTGCAGACTTTGTAGGCTTAAATTCATCTTCTGCCCCATCTTCATCCTCTATTTCCCATGCATCTTCAGAATGCATTATCTCATCATAACAAGCCTCAGAAACTAACATATAAATAGTTAGTTATGAGGTTTTCATTTGAAAACATTTTAATATTATGTATAATATATATATGTATAGTATATATATAAAACCTACAGCTTTTTTCAACTTTGAGCCATGCTTTAAACCATTCTTTTTTTCCTGTGAAAACATCA